GAAAGTTCTAACGAAGGGCCCATGGATGATCTTTGGCGTCTATCTAACGGCACAACTATGGTCTATCTTCTTTGATCCGGCAACAACAATTGTGTCATGTCCCAAAATATAAGGTGTGACCGGCATGGAATATGTATGCAAAACTCATATCCCATAAGCCTTAACTAAAGAAATTTCAAATTTGTAAACCATAAACACATATAATATATAAATATAATTTTCAGATATTTTATTTTTATTATTATTAATTAATTAATTGTTTTATATTTTTCATGCAACCAAAATTCAAAATTTCCTATAAAAAGAATTTTAGCGGAATGTATCCTAAAATTGAGACTTCCCAAAATTTGTCACCAACAAAAAACAACAATAATACAAACAAAGAAATTGCACTCCTTTCCAACAATTATTCAATCTTATAATAAAAATGAGGATCTTGCCTATAATCAACATAGAGCATCTAGAGCCAGACTATTGATTTAATATAAGGCTTAAATTACATCAAATGGGTCTTGCCAAAGTAATTCTTTCACTCCATTGAATGATAGTCACAATGAACACGTTGAAATACAAGTTGAACCTTTCCATCTGAGACCAAAAATATTTTTTCAGTGAATAACGTATAAATAATTGAACATAAATAAAAAAAAAGTTTGAACCAATTATGTAAGTTAAAGATAACAATTTTCATAAAAATTTAATAAACTTCAAAATAAAATGGCTCTATATAACTTTAAATAGAATTTTGAACCATTAAAGTATCATATCAAATATTGTTGTCACGTGACTTCAAGAAAACAAATAAAGAAAATAAATAATTATACATAAATTACTAAATAAAAAAACCAATAAGATGTAAAATCACCAAATAATCTAATTTATGATTATAGGGACTTATCAGAACCATTAACAAATGTGGACACACAATCCATAAGGTTAAATAATCAAACATGGCTCTTGCCATGAAGACAAACGTGGACACACAGTCACGAGAGTAAATAACCAAATGCAATTGAAGCCACGAAACAAACGTGAGTACGATGCTCACGAATAACCATCCCTCGTTCCACGTGCGTTGTCCATCACACGGGGCTAGCACCTCCTATAAGCACGCTGATAGCTAGGTGTACCATGCTGTGTCAAGGGCCAACGGAACTGCCATTAGCAACTAATATTCTGTATAAAGTCCCTTTCAAATCCATTTTCAAACATGCCAGAAAATCATCACTTGCGAAATATAATTTCTCTTCTCAGTATCAAACTTGCATGAACCATGTAAAACATCAATCTTTCTAAATATAAAAATTCATAATTAATATTTCATAAATTGTTCACTAATTTTCATAGTTGGCTGTATTAAATAACAGACTACTAAAATTTGTAAAAGTATTTCCGTCAATCCAAAAAGTATAAGTCATGACTCTAAGAAGTAAAGTAATTTAATTAACAAAAGGAGCTAATGCAAGAGAAATATATAATATTTATAAATTGTTAAAACAATATTTTGATAAAGAAAATTTTTTAATATATTAATTGATTGGGACGTTATCCACTTACCTGACATGCTCCCAAATAGATATAACTTACTCCTAATTGACTCTCGCAACCATATTAGGTCCTTAAATCCTTTAGATGGAGCAATAGCGCACAAGCAGGGGAAAGTAAATGAAACTACAGCTGAACAGGGGAGAAAGAAACTCCAGTATGGCTGCGAAAGGGAAGAAAAGAAGAAGAAGAAGAAGGCGCCGGCAGCAACCTCCAATAGCAGCACCACGATTTCCTCCAGTGACCTACCTCCTCACCCAGCCAATGGCATCACCACAAAATAAGAAAACAAAATAGAGACTGAGAAGATAGCAATAGGTCTGAGCGTTTTCTATCAACACGAATGAAAGTGGGAGAATTTAGGGCCCCTAGAAAAGCCAGTTAGGCGGAACATGGAGAAGGAAGAAGATGAGAATGGCAGAGGATTTTTGATTGAAGCTTCTGGCTAGTTCGATGAAAAGATAAGTGGAATGAAAAAAAAATCTGATGCTAATATAATTTTAAAATAGAGGGCAGTTTTGTAATTTTATAAAGATTGAAATAAAACAAAATTCTCCCCCTTGTGTCAGTAAGGTTCGAATTAAAGACTTAGTTGATAAATAGTTAGCTCAATTTTCACGAGACTAATATTCTTTTTTATTAAATCTAATCATAAAAATAATAAAAATACACTTAAATGATATCATTACAAAATTTAAATTTAACGTGAATTTTTTTAGGTTATTACAAACTGTCCAACGTGAGAGTCATTGAAAAATTGTTGGGTCAAATCATTAATATGATACTAAGGCTAGAGAAAGAGGAAAGTTTGCTAGAATGGTAGTTCTTATTGATTTAGCACAACCTCTCATCCCTGAGATTAAAGTGGGAAGTTCTACAGGGTTGTTTATGAGGGTCTTCCAATGATTTATTTTGGGAGTGAGATACGAGCATACGAAGGACGAATGTAAAGAACTTAACGACAGAAAAGCTGTGCATTCAGATATAAAGATGCAATAGATGCTCCTAAGGCAATGAAGGTTGAAAAAAAGCAATCGGCCAGTGTGAACCAACCATGGAACTACTTTTTTCAAGTGGATTCAAAACTGGCTTGTCGGGCTTAGCTTGAATTAATGACTCTAAACTACTCCATGTCCATCTAATAATCTAGAAAAGAAGGGGACAAATAGTAAGGGCACGTGCAGCCCATTGATAAGGATAAAGTCATAAATAGGAGGTTAGTAGGCCAACTACTAGTAAGGTACTTCTCTAATTATATTTATATCGTTAGTTTTACCAAAACTAAAAACAAATCTTATATTTCATTAACTCTATCTAAAAATTTAATAAGTTTTCAATTTATTATCCCTCTTAAATATGTATATTTTAAAAACAAAACACCCTAACATATAAACCTTTGCAACATTTAATAGGAACAAAATGGTAGAGATGAACGCAATCATTATTAATGTGCAAATAAATAAAACTAAAATAAATATTCTCTATATCATATAAATAAAACCAGAGAATATTAAACTTAGAAGGCCAAGGTGAAAGGTGAAAAATAGGGAACTTGTTGTCCAAGAAAAAGAAGTTGGGCCATAGCAATGAAGTTGGCAATTCGTGTAGCCTAACTACAGTCACCCCTAGTAGAATAGAAGAGGACACGACCCAGAAATGTGATGAAGCCACAGTAGCTCAGACCCTTAACAATGACTTGGACATCAAAATGAGACCCAGAAATGTGATGAGCCACAGTAGCTCAGACCCTTAACAATGACTTGGACGTCAAAATGAGACAGTTTTTAACTTAATGGCCTAAGAAATGCGACGAAGCCATAGTAGCTCAGAACCTTAACGATGACTTGGACATCAAAATAAGACGATTTTTAACTCAGTGGCCTATAAAATTCGTGAGGCATGGATTGCTTTAGATAATAACAAGCATACTCTAGTGGAAATATGCATTGAAAGCCCTGTGCTTTTGGAAGCAAATAATCTGATTAGAAGCAAACTAATGAAGGATGAGGGGTCTCTTTTGCTCTTAGACCTTTAAAGGAGAGTTTGTTGACAGGCCGTTAAATTTTCTTCTGGTGTATGAAGTTGAAAACAATCTAACTCTTTATAGGGATATACAATATTAAAGGTGATGATATTATTTTCATAAGTGACAATAAAGGATGTCTCCATTCAATAGAAGTATAATCTATACGTCATTATTCAAAAATTTCCCACAAGAATATCGAATCAAAGCGTTAAGGACTAAGTGCCTCTAATGCTTGATTGTTCTCATAACTGCATCCCATTTCAAATATCAATAGCCTCTAGTAACTTGAATAATGTAAGTAGGGAAGTCTAGAAAATAGACCTATAACATTAGGAAAATTATTGACTCTAAGGTCTAGACATAGGGGGTCCCAACCCCCAACAGTAGGCTATCAATAGATTACTCAATGACAAGAGCAGGTTGCCATATGCTAGCTAGTAGACAGATTAAGAACAAGATCTTCAATATCTCTTCCCCGAGCTTCAAATAGTCAACTTTGAACTAACACAGACAAGGAAAATCTGACTGTTTAATTAAAACAAAACATTGTAATAGCCCCTATAGATATTGACATAATGTGATATCTGGTAGGTACTTTGAATGTCAAAATAAAGAAATTTAACCAAGCCCAATGGCTTCGTCCTTTTTTTTTCCTATGCTTTCTACTCTGAAATATGAATCCCAATAAGACCTAGCTAATAAATGTCCAAACAATCACATGAGCTAACAACCAAATACCTTTCGGCTATATTTGGTACAAGGCATTAAGAGGTTGGGACTGGGACTGATATTGAAGAAATCCATAGATACAATGTTTGATATGATGGATTCTTTAATCCTTGAGTCTGATGAAACCCATGTAACTAAGATTAACGAAACCCATGGGGGGAAGTGGTATTGAAAATTTAAGCTTAAGATTAAATTTTCTTAAACCAAAATACCCTCCATTTTTGGTACATGTCTAGCCTTTCACCTTCATCTTCTCCGATCTCGCAGCCACCGGCCAACGCGAACACCTTCTCCTTTTTCAATCTCACAACCACAACCTCTGGATTTTGTAACCATTGCTACCTTCTCCTTCTTTGATCTCGCAACCGCTGACCTCTAGATCTTGCAACCACAACCTTTAGATCTTGTAACCTTCGCTACCTTCTCCTTCTCCAATCTAACAACCACCTAGATCTTGCAAACACTGCCAAATGGATCTCGCAACCACATTCATCTCCTTCTCTCACAGGTCCAAACTCGATCTCCCTCTCTTAAAAGATGCACAGTCACAAAGGTATAGAAAAGATGAACCCTGTGCTGCTATGGTTTTCGAGAGGAGGTGTTCCAATTTTTTTTTAGTTTTAAGAGTAGTATAATCTTTTCATACTTTATATTTAATTGTAAAATAAAATAAAAATAATTATTTTCTATAAGTATTACCTCATACCAAACATAATTTTAAAATCTTATTTCCAATGCCAATCCCTTGAAATTGAGGCTTGCGTCCCAAGCAGGCCTTCATTTCTTGTTGAGTCTCAAATACCGTGTCTTGGAACAACCCTCCAAGCATAGGCTCAAAATGACAATGTTCTGCTTAATAAAAACTTCAATGATATTAAAGGAGGAAATTAACTGAAATACATTTAGGTAGTGTCATTACAACCGCAAACCTCGTTCTCCATACAGCTCGTTCCACTGCTTCAGCTCATGCATTATTGCTCCGTCAGCATCAAAACTTGCAGGAACCTACATCAAAATAGGTTATTAGGCTTTTATGAAGATGCTATAGTAAAATAATCAGCCCCCCTATCGTCCGTAAATATCCATTCATAGTAAATGTTTTCCATAATGGTACAAGAGAAAGAATAGAAATTATAGGTCTAAATCAAGAAAAACAAGTCATTTATGTAAATTGTAAAGTGTTTTAAGTTAACCCTACCTGGTTCTTAGCCTGAATCATGTCTTCCATGTTTATAGGCCTTAAGGTAATTTTTGGATCCACTTTATCCTCGTTAGCACTTGAAGCAGCTTCTAAGCTTTGTTCTTCAGCCTCTTTCTTATTCTTTTCCTAAATTAAGATAAAATTTATGCTAGTCAGCTAAAAGACAATGGTTATTAAGTCGAGAAGGCACATTGAGATGATGTCACAAGTCAAGGAAATTACATGCTCTTCCTTATCCTTTTTGGTACTTGAAGTAGCTTCTGAACTTTGTTCTCCAGCCTCTTTCTTATTCTTTTCCTAAATTAAGATAAAATTTATGCTAGTCAGCTAAAAGACAATGGTTCTTAAATCAAGAAGGCACATTGAGATGATGTCATAAGTCAAGGAAATTACATGCTCTTCTTTATCCTCTTTGGTACTTGAAGCAGCTTCTGAGCTTTGGCCTTCAACTTCTTTTTCATTCTTTTCCTTAAATAAGTAAAAAGTTTATGCTAATCAGTTAAAAGATAGTAATTAAATTGAGAGGGAACATTGACATGATGAAACAAGTCAACTTTGTCAAGTTTGGTTAGTAAATTACCATATCCTTCAATCTCTCCTGTTTAATAAGCTCCCTCACAGGTCGATAAGCAGCAGCAATGCACACATTCTATTTATAAGAAATTTTGCGTTGAGTGATGGTGAATGCAAGTTATAAGCAGAGAAAAACAATCATAACATAAAAAAGGAGGGGGAAAAAACCTTGAGATCACTTCCAGTATATCCCTCTGTCAGGAGTGCAAGCTGTTTGAAGTCTAAATTTTCAGTATTTTCCTTAGCTAGGAGAGTTTTCAAGATAATTTCCCTAGCCTCAACTGATGGAAGACCAACCATGATTCTGGTCAACATTGAAAGTTACAAAGGTATCAACAAGAAAAATCATAACTTGTATTTAAACATTGAATTACGCAACAATGTTACTAAGAGAAAAAATTAAAATGAATTTGCCAAGAGATGCTTTAGAAAAGTTTTGAATAGTTACCACTTCCTATGGAAACCGAAACTTAATTATTCACACAAGAAACAATGGATAAAATCGAAGATTCATACAAATAAGGATTGTTACAGATTAAAAGTTTTACTTTTAAGGGTAGGAAAACTATAGAAAATAACAAAAGTATATGTCCTCGATGGAAGCCACTAGCATGCTATGTGCAATATTTTGATTATTTTAAGGCTAAAATGTTAGCTTCATTAAAAATCTTTTTGTTTTTTTATGAGCACCTAACTGCTAATAAAGCTCATGCATGCATTGTTCTTAAGACAAAAATAATAAAATGAATCAGACATGAAAGATGAAGCCATCCATGAAGACAAATACACCTTCGCTCAAACCGTCTTATGATTGCATCATCAAGGTCAAATGGCCTGTTGGTTGCAGCAAGAACTAGAATTCGCTCCCCTTGTTTTGTCAATAGACCATCCCAATGGGTCATGAATTCATTCTTAACCCTCCTTGTAGCCTCATGCTCTCCACATCTTGACCGTCGCCCAAGCAGGCTATCAACCTCATCAATAAAAATAATAGTTGGAGAAACCTTTGCAGCTAGTGAGAACAGAGCTCGGATATTCTTTTCAGCTTCTCCATACCACATTGACATGATGGTAGACATTGAGACATTTATGAAACTTGCTCCCGCTTCCTTTGCAATTGCCTTTGCAAGCATTGTTTTTCCAGTACCTGGTGGCCCAAACAACAATATACCTCGGCAAGGCTTAAGAAGTCCACTTTTGAAGAGGTCTGGTCTTCGAAGAGGAAGCATGACTAGCTCTTGGAGTGATTCCTTAACCTCCTCTAATGCACCAATATCCGAGAATGTAACTCCTATCTCATTTGCGGGGACTAGTTCTGATCTTATGTTCCTCTCATTTTCATTGTCTGGACGAACGTCCTGCCAGCAGAAAATTAAACCAAAAAAAAATGAAATAATAGAAGGAAGTAACCATGTAAAACATTAGTTAAACACTCCTCTTTTGCATCATTACACTCTCCACTGGCTGAGTCCAATTGTGTAAATTTGGAATATAACCAGTCTTCCATCATCCGTGTAGAGAAGCGAAAGAATTAATTTAGGAAGAGTGTTTCAAAATTTCTAATTTTGGACCTAAAAGTTCAATTGAAAGTTAGCAAGAGTTTTAAGAAAGCTTAAATGGTCTAATGACATAGATAATGAGATTATGTCATTATTTATATAAGACCATTGAAAGAGGAAGAGACTTGGCAAAGATTGCTCAAGCAATTCCAAGAGGCCAACAGAAAGCTAACATTCAAGTAAAGAAAGCTAAACTACAGAGGTAGCATTTACTAATTCTTGCATTTTAGTTATGTTGATTTCTTTCAAACATGCAAATTGCCATGACAATTGTATTGACATGATCATATATTCATGAGATGTTTTTCTTGGACTTATGCCACGGCCATTTGCTATGGCCTTGCTTGTTCATGTATGTTTCAACTTGACTATTTGATTTGCAATGTTTAATGAATTAAGTTGATTAGACAAGCCTAAATGTTTGGAATAGATAAATGCTACTGAGACTCCCCCAAATCTCACTCCCCGATTACTAACGATGTTAGGTTTAAAACAAACAAGAATAATCATGAGCAAGAGTAAGAGGAGAATGCAAAGAGTAAATAGCAAGTTGAGTCACAACAAATGAAATTGTCAAATTAATGGCATTGATTCAAAATCGTGTATAAATTCATCTGTTTGATTTAAATTAGTTCAGAAGTTATATCGTGCATCCTTGATGTACCTAGATTGATAATGCATGAAATGGAGCCCTGGAATTGTCATGGAGCTACATTTAAAGCATGAAAATGTAAAACTGCCCTGATGCAGGATTTTCTGGAGGTCTGTTATTGTTTCATCAAACAGTTTATAGCAAAGGAATTCCTTTGCCTCTGACGATTTTTACTCTTAAACTGGACATCCTAAGCTCTCCAGAAAGTCCAAAATCAAATCATTTGAAGCTCGGCAGCTCAAGTTATGAGTTTTCAAAGTTAAGGATCAGAATGAGACTAAAAACCAGAGCACTTTTAGAAGACAAATAAACTGTACTGACTGGCCCAACCAAAGTCCTATTTCTTATTTTTCATATGTAGACCATTCTTCAAACTTTAAAAGGACACAAGAACCAATTCATGAGGATTTTTCTAGAATTTGTTGTAATTTTTCGAAATTCAGTGACAAATCCTGGAATTACCAAATGAATGTTAACCTGAGAAGAGTGTTGTTAGAGGCTGAGCTTTGAATCTTTACGGGCTTTAATTAACACTCACCTGAACTGTATTACTTCCAATTCCATAATAACGGTTCAGGAGATTTGTCAATTAAAGCCCAAAAAGGTTCAAAGCTCATTTTCTAACTACACGCTTCTTGGGTTACTACTCATTTGGCAATTCAATCCATCCAATCATTTTTTCTTCTTGGAAGTATTCGTGCTGATCCATGTTGCTCCCATTCATGAGAGTGAATGTTAAAAATACCTTCTTTCCACCAGTCTCTTCCTTCTTTCCACTGGCACTACTTTTCTGTTTGCGAAATAGATCCAAACCATGGCACAAACTGTGAATTCCCAAGATTAGTTAGTCACTAGAACATGTTTTCCTTAAACAAATAAGTAACTGGTCCAAATTCTTACCTCTCAGATGATATTACAAGCCTCCCATTCCGATATTCTGGATCCTTCGTATTCATCAAGTAGTAAGATATTGCAGATATCACAATTTCATCAATATATCTGCTTAATGTCTTTGTGTCCTCATGGCTGATTGAATTCAAGTCTTTACATTCAACATCATTTGCTGCCAGTACTTCAGCAATGTGGTTTCTGTTATCTTGAGACTTAATTATTTTCTTGTTCTCTTCCAGTTGGGTTTTCCAATCTTCAAGATCACTCTCATCTTCTGGTGGTTTGATCGGAATGATGTATGGAAATAACGCTGCAAGCCTTTCATCAACTTTTGAACATTTATCCACTTTGCGAGGCGGAGCTAGCCATGGTGGGAGATCTGCTACAATTACACACAACACAACCATTATATTTGTAAATAATTTTATCAATTTAAGAGAGAACAAAGCTTCCCCATTCATTACAAAAACGAAGCTTTCACAATGAAATAGAATACACACACACACATATCACCTTTTGAGCAAATAATTTATTTTTTTAATCGTTCCATTTTCCTTATGTATCTAATCTAAAATAATATTCAGATACAAATTTTGCCTCTCTCACCAGGTTTTTTGGTTTTCTCTGCAATCTTGGAACCAAGTATCAGGACTGGCCCTGAAAGTTCCTCTAGCATTTCTTTAAATAAATTATACAATTGCTCTGATTGAAGGAAAATTTTGTCAGCATCCCTGATGTACAAAATGATGGAACTCTTTTCTGACACAGAAGCCAAGACCTGGAAGAATTTTATTCATCCTGCTAGTTAGCTAGAACTAATTATTGAGAAATTCTCTTTTTTCTTGATGTATGTCAATGCCAAGATTCTATTTAAATGAATAGCAAATGTGAGATAGAAAGAGAAGCCATGATGATGACATTATGACAATACCTTAAAAAGCAGCTGCATAAAGAGTTTTTCATCGACACACAAGCTGCTTTTGTTCTTCAAGGAAGCTGAGAATGAAGATTCAAAGCAATAAGCAAAGAAAACATTTAATTTTATACATAATCAATCATAAAACAGGGCAAAAAATATATTTTCGGTGTAACAAGAATGGAAGGATGGGATAGTTAAATACGCCATTAATTCTTATTACTATAACTAAAGAAGCATAAACAACAGATGGATGGGTTAATTATAGAAATTTGCAGAAGAGGTGAACATTGCATGCATCAGCATTGAAAATGCAGGGTTATTAAAATTAAATTGGACAAGGATAAGTAAGCCCAAAACTTGCAGACCTCAGCAACCTATAGTTCCGGAGATTAGAGTAATGTTAATACGAATCTTACAATGAAAAGAAATATATCAAGAATATATATAACAAGCATATGAACTAAAACAGGAGAACAGAGAAAAATAAAAATGTGTTCAAGTATAACCTGAATTTGCAGGGGATGATTTGGAAGCAGTATTCCCCTGAAGCTTTGAAGTAACCTTGGGACTTCCAGTAGTATTACTGCCTTTGTGAAAAGTGCCTGCATAAAAGTAGTCAATCAAGTCCACTGAAGTTAAGTAAAATTTAGTAAAGTTTAGGAAAAAGTCAAGAACTGAAGGGTATTCACTGACACAAGATCTGCAAATTGAGATCATGAGTCCATGACTATGATTACTGTAATAGCTATGAACATTGAACAAGAATACAACACAACAAACTGCTGAATCAATCATGTTTAAAACAGTCTTGTAAATAAATTTGAAATTACATTCAATTAAGCTTCCTATGAAATGTAATCTAATACCCCGGGGGGGGGGGGAGCCTTTTTCTCACTTCCCTACCTTTAGTTTTGCCATTTGAAGGGAGAACTGTTAAGGAACCAAGCAAACCAGACAATCTCTCTGAAGCCACCTCAGATAAGGACCTTTTAGGAGACTACAAACAAAGCAAACGAGTGAGAGAAATCACCAGGCAAAGCAACTCACATGTTTGTGATTTTGTGATCTATTTTTGCAATTAAATTTTCTTTACATCCAAACATACAAACAGAGAATCTACAGCTTCATCCCCATGGACCACACAAGAATAACAAAACAGTTTGACAAAGGATCCAATTTTAAAATATGACTTCAAGAAAGGGCTTTTGGAGAAAATTCATAATTTCTGTAAAAAGCTAAGTATCTTCAGTCTTGGTGCAGAGCATGGCAAGAAGAACAAACAAATTTCGAGAAGAAAGATTTACCGATTCTTTTCTTGAACATCCATATTTGCTCTGTATCTGTAAAAAGAGAAATAGGTCAGATATGAATTTTAGCTTATTTAATGTGAACAAAAGAAATCGCAATATAAAAATAATGACCTTGAGAGAGAAGTCAGCAACATCTAGTAGCAGCAACTTTGATTCAAAGCGATGTGCTAAAGCCTTGGCAAGAGTTTGCAGGTAAAGTTCTGCCAGAAAAATTGAAAAAAAAAAATGAAGCTAGTATGAGTCAAAATAACATGAAAAGTAAAAACATCTTGTGCAGGAACATAAGACATCTGCATAGCAAACCTGCAGGTCCAGAAAGCAGAATTGCCCTGCTTGCCGGGGAAAGGTTCCGGGTGTGTTTGGAAAAATAAAGTTGTCTTAAATGAACAGATGCAGCACTAATCAATAACTCTCGAGTTCTTTCACTGTCAATAAAATGGAACAAGACTTGTGTTATAAGGGCGATAAAGACTCATATTTATATATCATTTAAAATCTGAACCAGAAAGAATCTGGTGTTTACAAAGTCATTCTACTGAAGAATAAAGGTCTCAAGTCAAGCACATCAAATTCATCAAAAGAAGAAGATAACACGAATTTTAAAAGTATTTTAGAACATAACACCAAATTCACCAGTATATTACATCAGGAATCATCTGAACAGTAAAAGTAAAATAAACAACCAAACAAAAAATATGTGCAGCAAAACAGATTATTCCTATATATGAAGAAAAGCTACATATTAAAATAAAGTAAATGTTCTTGATTGCAAGAAATGCTCAAAACGTTAAATCACCTCAAGTAATAAGGAAACTGTTGAAATGTTTCCTCACATTCCTTGCCATCAATCACCTGCCTCATAAGCTCCTGCTCAATCTGCTCACCATAAAGCTCATCACCAGACTCGTGATCCCCTCCAAGCCCTGAACTCAACCTAAGGCCAGCTCCAAGACCAACCCCAACACTCAGTGCTGACAGCAAAACATGCTTGTGCTCCATCTCTTTGAAACGATTCGATCAAACCCCTTTTGAGCAAACAAATTAACTCCGCTCCTTTCAGCTCTGATTTTGGAAAAACCGGCCAAAGGCTTCTGATAGTTAAGGTACTCACATATGTGTGACCCTCTTCACCCCAGTCTCGCCTATAAATAAGCACATGCCACGGCTTGGGTGTGTGAATTTCTAAAGGGGAGAAACTTAACTCACAAGTTGTTAATACGTCAGACGTGCCCGTTAAGTTGAGAAAATTAATCCATCGGCCCCCCGTATTTTTCATTCATTTTCAAGTATATCTTTATTCTTTTAAGATCAGTCCCTACTGTTACTACACTTTAAAAGTCAGTCCTTATGATTCATCCTATCTACAGAACCATTCAACCAATGCAAACCTGGCATTAACACTGTTAAGTAACTGCTGAGGTGGCGAGAAACTAATACTTGAATAATGATGTGGCATATATGTTGCATTAAAAATGTAATGACAATTGTGATAATTAAAATGCACACGTAACCTCTGTTTTAAATCAGAATAATTTTTTTGTTAAATGAAGGAGAATTCCATCTCCAGGGCAAGTAGGATAAGGCTATGTAAATGTGGGAAGTACAATTCTATGCATATTAACTTTATGTAAAAGCAACAAGTTCTCTTATCCCAATCATCACTGGTAGAGGGAAGCGAACAACTTTCTCTGTGGAAATAGGAAGACTGAATTCCTCTTTTTCTATTTGTGTATTTGATTTGACTGATTTTAGAGATGCAGCAACTTAAAGAGAGATCACAAAACTTCACAGAATGTTCAGTACTTTTTCTTACTTAGGGATTTGTCATCGCCAATGGCGCAATCTCTCTCCAAGAACCGTGGATCTTTCCATCTTATATCTTTCATTTGCTCTTTCCATAGCCTCCGTCCGAACTCCCCCATCCCTTCCCCTCTCTCTGTCACTGACTTCGCATTTGCATTCTCTCTCCTTTCGGCCACTGCTTCAACCACCACCGCGCTTCTCATCGATCCGGCCACTGATCACCACTTGTCCTGGTACTCAACCTCTTGAGTCTGTGAATTGGATTTTGTGTTGAAGTAGCCCTTGGTTTAGAACTTTGGATTGGGCCATGGGGAGATAAAAAAAACAAGGATAAAAATAGTAAAAATATTTAAGCATGTTTATTCTCTTTTCTATTTCCTGTCTACATTTTCCTCCACCGAACTACAAACTAAAGTCTCTTCATCATCTCTTTTTGAGTTTTTGGTTACATGGGGGTAGAGTGAAAATAAGAGTGGGGTTTGAGGGATCAAGCTTAGAGACTTTATTTAAATAAAAATTTATATTTAAAAAATTAATTTTTATTTAATAAAACTACTAGACTTTTAAACTGAGTTCTAATAAGTTTTGAAAAAAACTTAAATTTGAGTTGCCCTTTAAGCTTTATTTTTTTTTTCAAAAGATTAATAATTTCCTAATGTCAACATCTATGCCAACTCTTTAAAAATCCCCATACTCATTCACTGTAATTTCAACAGTAATCACCATTTTTTTAAAAGCACTACAAAAATCAAAGGCCTTATTATAAGAAACTAAATAATTACATTTAAATAAATTTTTAAAGAAGCTAATCTTTATGCAAATTGACTTATATGCCAAGCTCTTAGCAATAGCAAAGATATCAAAATTTAAGATCATTCACACGATCTTCCGTGGCCTTTCTTATTCCAAGAAAAAATTCAGGCTTGGCTTTAAATCCCTTATTTTTTATTTTTAGAAAATCTCACTTAATTATTAAATATTCAGCAAAATTCAAACTCAGATTTGAAATTTCACCTCTAAAGTAAAATAAATATCATACAAATATTCTAACATATGTTTTAAAAGTTCACTAAATGGTTAGTTATCATCATATATAAACAAAATGTTTAACTGCTTGATTAGTCTTCCAAGGATTCAATATTTTAGCGGTGTTGGTTTGACTATTTAGGACTACGACCAAGTAGAACATCTTGTAGATAGCCAAAAAAAAAAATAGCAGAAATAATTTAAAAAATTAAAAAACAAAAAAAACAAACAGTTTTTTGGACTAGTTCAAGCCCGATCCTTTTTTACATCTTAAAAAAATTTTATAAAAAAAAGTTAAAAATATCTATTTACAAATTTAAATTTAAATTTATAAATAAATTACTTAAATTTCAAGTGTATGTCGTAAGTAAAATTTTTATATATAACTATTAGAATAATATGTATATAATTTTTTGGACTCCATTTCTCCGTTGAGCTAAATCCTCTACTCAATGGATCAGATTTGAACTGTTCATATTGTATCTGAACGATTCATATTTAAAGCTTTTAATTTTTAATTTATATTTGTCAAAATAAAAATTTTAATAAATTTGTTTGATAATAATCTGATAATTTAAATTTAATATCATAATTTTTATAATTTTTATAAATCAAGGACAGCCTGTGACTCATAGGAGTTCGGTCTAAATTTGAAGGGACGCAGCAGCTGCACGTGACATTTCGGCGTTTCATTCACGTGCTGACATATCATTAAATTTATGTTTTTTTCGCCACATCATCATCCTTAAGCGTTGACGCCACTGATGCAAACTGAGCTCAAGGGATTAACCTCAGAAGCGATGATTCTCATAAGAGTTGCTGTATAAATTTTAAAAGTATGGGGGCCTACTTAAAAATACAATAAAATATTGAGATTGAGCATTAAATTTTTTTTCAAGTTAAAATTGATGTGGGGGCCTTTTTGGAATGAAGTTTTCAGCATTTATTCTATTAAAATAAAAAAATAAAGTGCTAAAAGCAGAAGTCCACTTGCATGCTCAAGATCGCATAATCTTAATCCCCCGTCTTTTTTCCTCTTTTATATCTAAGTTTATTTAAACTAGCTTAAATAAATATGAACGTATAGGGAAAAAAAATCATATAGCCACATCTAATCCCAATAATTTAGATTTTCAAGCTTATTTAAATCCGTTTGAATACTTGAATTATTTAAAAATTCTTTTTTTATTTTTAAACTAATTTCAATTTCAATGTTTCTCTTGAAACTAATCACTGTTGTTATGTAAAAAAAATGTACTTTTTGGAACATTGAATCAAATATAGAAGACTCAAAAAAATTTAAAGAAAATTGTGAATCTTAAAATATAAAAAATCAAGATTATAATATATTTTTAAGATTATTTTTGGATGTTAAAATGATGATATAACAGTGTGCATCATTATAGTATTTTTACAAAAGGAGACAACTTATATGCTTAACATTATCTATTTAAGGTATTTATTTTTAATTAAATCAAGACATATATATATCATTTATAGATTATTTATTCTATAATAAATTCTTATTATTAATATCAAAATTCACTTATTTTGAGTTAACTAAATAAAAGTATATTAAATATGTAAGACTAAGTATATAAGTCTTATTCTTTTACAAAATATCTAAAATAATATACTTGAGTGAGAGAGAGAGAGAGAGAGAGATTTTTTTGAGTTTATTTAAGATTCACCTAAATTATCGACCCTAACTAAGTATCTAATAATATAAAATCACAATTTGAGTATTGCTAGGAATCATAATATAAACTCAAATTTAAGTATTATTTTTTTTTATTTTATCACTCGATAGCTCAAAAAACTTAGATATTATCACCTCTTGCCCAAATTAACTTGAAATTTTGTTGTGTGAGATTGTTGTTGATTGTTGTTACCAACAATGACAGCCTCACTAATACCTCAGTGATGCTTTTGGCACATTTACATAACCTCAATGATTCAAACTTGAGATCACAAATAAGTTAATTTAACTCATTCAACAAGTTGAACCAAGCACTCTCAATCAAATTTAAGTATTACTAAAAATATAAATTTTCATATATTCAATAAAATTTTAATTATCACATACTTATACATAATTTGTCATGCGTGGATCTGTTTAATAGTTATACAATTTTTTTTTAAAGAAACTAGTTATGATAAATAATAAAAATCAACTTACAGAAAGCCCATGAATATAAAGCCTCAATTCTTTCTATTCATAGATATCTTCCAATTTGAGATAATTATATTTAAAGTATAATCAAATATTAAATATAAATATATTTTTAAATAAGAATTCAAATTTGAGGCGACCTAATTCCATTGATTCTTCACTCAGAATTTTTTTTTTTTTTTTTGGGTAGAATCTTCGTTCACATCAGACACAATTGAGATTCCCCACTTTCATCGAACCTAACTATTACTGTTATTATATTATATTTTTTATTATTTTAAGCTTTGAGCGTGAAGTTTCACTCCAATTTCATGTGGGGATGGAGAATCTTTTTATCCTTCCACGTTAGCTGCTGCTTGCTTTTACTTGTTGACTTAAGTTGACGCCAATTTTTCCTAGAAAATATGCCTATCAGATAGCCAACTTCTATTCTTTCACACAAAAGCATAGCCTGCCACTTACTTGCATTCCAAAAAAAACACATAGCCACACCACATGTTTATGTGTTCACTTTAATGGATGTTACTTTCTAGTCTAAACTATAAATATTTTATAATTAATTTTAATTCAAAATATAAATAATTTAGTAAATATAATTTTTTTATTTTACCCATTGTATTTATTAACCTAAATCTTTATATAAATATGTCTTTTACTTATCATAAAGTACATTATTAATTGGGATTAGGGGTAAAAGGGGAAACAAAATAGATTTTTATGAGAATGAAGACTTTATTAGTATGATAATTTTTTTAAAAAAATACTTATATTTTGGACTAAAGAGAATATATTTGTAATTATAATTTGTTTGTATTACTCCCCTGGTTCAAAAATGTAAATCATTTTTAATTGAATCTCACCCTCCAATAAAATAATTATTTACTTTTAAACTAATTCTATATTTTTATATTTATCTCTGTTAAACACTGTATAATAAATATAAAGTTATTATCAATAAAAGTACTTTTAAAGAAAAAAACAACGATTACACATCGAAAGATTAAAAATCTCTCACATTTTTGAACATCCAACCTGTTAAAAAATATTTTATGTTTTTAAACTGAGGGAGTATAAGGTAACGGTGGTGTTCACTTTTTTTTTCTTTTTTGGTACAAGGATAAAACCTGCGGAAAGTAGA